ACATATACCATGTTATGGGGATTATTCCCCACATCATGGTAGCAAAATGGCTCATCATAATCCCCATCTTTTATAACATTAGTTAATTAAATGTACAAAGCTCTCTTAAATTTTAATTTTTTCATTCTTGTCCCTCATATCTCCTCTCTCTCTCTCTCTCTCTCCCCGCTAACCCGATTTTTAAAAATACACATAATTTTTATTTAAACTATTTATATAATAAGAAAGAATGAAGGCATATCTCCATAGCCATAAGTCGTTACATTTCACAATGACTTTCATGAGTAGATCATAAGACCCATGTTTGCATAGCATCTGCCATGTTGTAATAAGTATAAACTTCTCATAAAATAAACAAAAAATGTGGTTTCAATAAATTTCACTTGTAAGAATTATTCTTAAATTTGAAAGAAGACGAAAAAAGAAAACTCGTCTTAAGAATTGAAAAACATGTTTCGTGTCACATTGCAGAGCATAGAAAGCATGTGCTCAATTTAGACTTCTCGATGGAAAAAAAAAACCAGCTAGCTTAGTGTTGGGTTAATATAATGCACTACACATCATACCATGTGCATCCTATTGCTTATTAATTGATGAAAATGCTTTTATTAGTGTGACTTGAAATGCTATAGATCATCTCATAATTTTGATTAGTATGATGGTATTTAAATAGTATAAAACTAAATAATATTCTTTGTGAATTGTGCGCTTCAATTAACTAAAGGGTATACTTCGTTTTTTTTTTCCATTTTGAGAAAAAAAAACACCTTTGTTTGTGCACATGGGCAACCTTGTCTAAACAATTAAGCATAATATGTGCAAATGCCTTTTTCATAAATTCAGTCAATATTATATTTGGTCGCCCTTTTCCCTTGCCAATACTTCAACATAAATGAATACAACTAAGCAAACAACTCTCTACAACCCCTTCAGATTTCGTGTATAAAAATTCATAAACGATTACATCCTTTGATTTAACTTAGGGTCAGTTTGGGGCAGCTGTAGCTTATTGAATAATCTGTTGATGCTGATTAAAAATAATCTGTCGATAAGCTAGGTACGGTGGCTATTACATTTTTTTTTTTTTGGAAAAGTCAGACCACAGCCAGAAAGCTGTTACCGCACCTAGATACGTGCAATGTGAAAATGTTGTTTTTAGCGTTTTGAAAACGCATAAGCTGTCAAAACGCAGTTTACCCAAATAGATCAGGTGCGTTTTCAAAACGCCACCGCACCAAATAAGCTGCCCCAAACGGACCCTTACATGTAGCCATGGTATGGCAAGGAATTGACTGTGCACGCTTAAAAAGGAAACTTAAACAAGAATTTTGATTTCTTACCCTTTAGTAAAGCTTTTTTTTTTGTTATACTTGGCCTCATGCTTGCAAAAATCTAGTGTTATTCCTCTTGCAAAAATCTAGTGTTATTCCTCATGAAATGTTAGCCTAATTGATCAGCCTAGCAACACAAGCTTTGTGCTCATGATGCACCAACGCTAATGCAATGACATGGACAAACTACATGCGTCAGACGTGGTGGTCACATGAATAATAATGCAATTAAAAAAATTCCACATGATACCCAAATAACTTTAAAATTTAATAAGATATTTTAAATATAAATATGTATTATTATTTTTTTACTTTCTTTAAATTTAAATGATAAATACAAACTACATTTATTCATTTCCCTCGAAAGCCACACACATTTACCTAAGTCTTTTTCCTTTCTTACATGTCGTTAGGGCTTAGGGAATGTCGAGTCCAATGAATCTAGCCACTAGCTTGCATCCTCAACGCCAAGGTGTGATGTCAACTTCCTTCTCTTCACTAAAGCTCAATTTCAAAGCCAGAAGAAGGGTGTCCTCGACCCTCTTGCCAACAATGCCCAAACCAAAAGCCAAAGTGAACATTCTCCCCTCTCAATGCAAATCCCGAAATTCTCATCATGCAAGCTACAGCGAGAATTGAACACCTCTTCCTAGTAAACCTATAATATTTACCACAAATTTTTAGGCTTAGTTAGGAGGTTAAGTTTCATATAAATACTTTTAAAAAAGATTATGATTAAAATACTATGATTATATTTTGGAGACCAAGTGGAGGAAAATAACACACATCTGCATTGCTAGGCTCATTCTTTAAATCCAAGGTAAATTACATTTTATATATTTTTTAATATATTCTCGTTTTGTAAAATACTAGTTATCTAATTTTATTCTCTTTATATTCTAGAAAAACATTTAGTAAAGAATCACTTCTAGAGAATCCTCAATTTGTTTCTCCTAAGAAAGATCTAGATATTTTAAATATGAGAAAGGCTTTCTTGAAACATTATTTTCCAAATGACGCAAGACAAATGATAAATGTGAAGTTAGCTAAATTATGAGAATACCTAAAGAAATTTAGAGTTCAGTATCTTTGTGTAATAGATATAAAATGGATCAAAACAATAAATTGGTTAATGTGTGGAGCCTTAGCACATCTACTTCAAACTAGAGCAATAAACTTCTTAGCCAAGTGTTGTGGGACAAATGGACATGAATATTCATATAATCAATGATTAGAAACAAAATCACTCTACAATGTGCTAAAAATTTGGTTTATGTTATACTAATATTCATCTTCTATCAACAGAAATTCCAAATTATATGAAAGATGATAACAAGATACAAAATGTTGTAGGATATAGAATTGTCCCATGATGATAGGGGGCCCTTGAGATTGTAAATATTTCCATTGATGAGCTGAAATTAAAAACTATGTTATTTAATGATAATGATATCAAAGGCCATGAGTGAGTGCATGACTAAGAAACCAATCGTATTATTCCTTTTAATGAAGAGTTGACTATTAGATCTTGATGCTGTACTTGACAGTTCATGGCTCCATGTTTACTTTTCTTCATGCCATAAGCTAAGAAATTATTTATGGGCCTCCATCTTTTGAAAGTGAATGATAGAAAAATGTCTTATCATGTATTTATTGTTCTAAATGTTATATTTAATTTGTTTAATTTCTATGCATTCTTTTTTATTTTTTAAGATACAAGAATCACAATTTTATGTCTATTATATATTAGTGTCGTGTCGTGTCAATGTTTCACTGGCATGCATCCTAGGTTTATGTTAATCTTGAATTTCTAGTACCCAATTTCCTCATTCATAACTATCAAATGTCATCATGCACTAGAGCACAAAATTATTGATACAGCTTAAAGGTCATTTCTACAGTTAGCAAACAACTGCTACATGCAACTACATCATTAAATATAGCCTGACAAATTGTATCAGCATCAAACCTTTCGCTGTTGCAGAAACATTCTTCACCAGGCTTGTCCCCACTATTTTGTTAACCTATATTTTACAACTTTCGGGATAAATTCTATGATTAGCTTTTAGCTAGCACAGCCTGACAAATTTCTGCTTAATAAGTATTGTTAACGACATAACAAAGGCCCTTTTGAAGTACAACGATGCAAATCACAGGAGAAATTATGTGCATTACACACAAGTATTTGACAGATTTGACTGCACTTTCAACCAATGAAACCTAAAGCTCAATGTGCAACTAGAGCAAGCTTCAATTATGAAATATATTTTTTGTAACTAGGGGTTAATTGGTTTCACAGTTTGGGTCAAGTTTGATCCAAAATTGACCAACCCAAAATTATTTAACTCAACCCCGACCCAAATATTAAACGGGTCAGAAAACCAAAAATATGAACCGGATTTAACTTGTCGAATCAAACCTGACCCGGATAATCCATTAAACATAAGACATAATGGCTATTCAGAATGATTTAGGGTCAATCTTGGGACAATTTTGAGTTGGCCGGCTGATTTCGACTCCATTGCGAGTTATTGAGTCAGATTCGAGTCAATTTTGGGTTGGCGGGTTAACCCGAATCAAACCTGAAAAATTAAATGCGTTAGGATTCCAAACCAAGCCCATAAATTATTTGGGTGAACCCGAATTTCTTGAGTCAAGTTCGGGTCGAGTTTGCATGTCGGATCAATTTTTGACACCCCTATTTATAACAAAGTTACTATTTTTAACCTCATGTGATTTCATAAAATATATTTTTGGAATTCTATGGCAGTGATAATTGGTTGACCATGGAGTTGCAATTACTTTTGAGTTGGAAGATCTTTCTTCCATAACCAAAAAACCAAGGTGGGACAAAAGGAAGAAGCAAGCTAGAGTAATGGTGAAGTCATCAAGCTTGTGGCCTTAAGAGTGCAGGTTCAAATGCTGCCCCTGCTTAAATCACTTTAGCTGCTGTCTCAAGCACAAAAAGCAAAAAGATACAACTTAAAGGTAATAAGAAGAAAGGATTCAAGAAAGACCGTCTCATAGTAAAATAGAACCCAACCATATCCAAGTAGATGGGATTGGATTCCTGGTGCCAATTAGGGGATAGTAGAAACCCTCACTAATCTTCTTTTATCTTCCTTGGAATTTCTATCATCTCATTCTCAAACTTGTTGAGAACTCCTTGATACAAAGCTCCATTTTTGTTGCCAACTCTCTCTTCTTTTCATTTTCTTTCTTACTTTATATTCCATGGCAGATTCTTCGAGCTATCTAATGTTTTTTTCCAAATTTTGAGTGAAATTACGTTAACCTTAGGCTGCACTGGCAAGGACAAATTGTAAATGTAAATATAATTCACTTCAATTACAATAAACCATCTGGTACGTCCTTGTGAAATGGAACATAAGCCAAACAGCAACAAGTGCCACTTTTAGTCCAGCAACTAGATCGCTTCCAAAGAACAATAATTCAACATACAGAACTGTAAAATTCGCCTTGATACATAGCAACCACCCAATGAAGCTAGTTCAGGGGGAAAAAATATAAATTGAAATACCGTGAAAAGGTGCACCACACTCGACCTATCAAACAAAGTTTACAGAACAAAATGAGCGGCATTTATAGCAAATGCACGTGAGAGTCCTAAAAACGGGTGGGAAAAGTGGAGAGACATTCCGAGCTTACCTGTTTCCTGAACATAGGAGAATCATCGAGCTTGGCAAAAAGCATGGTGAAACCTCGGGCACTTCCTGCTGTTTGTTCCCAATCCTCATCAGCCAGCACTCGGCGATCCCTAACCCTAAAAACCTAGCAAAAATGGGCGTCGGCAGATAGAAAGATTCATATCGTTGTTTCAGATCCCAGTGAGGTAGACCCCTGCTCCGTCGTTTTGGTCGACGCAGGATCCGCAATCCTCTGTTGCCGACATGGCGAAGTCCCCTCCAATCTCCGGACTCCGACAACCTCCGGCAGACACGCTTTTATGGAGATCTGTCGGAACAACAGTAAGAGCAAGTTTCCAGCAAAAGCAGGGAGAGAATAAGCAATGCGACAGATTCGGGAAGGAAAACAGAATGATTTTGGGTACTAGCAACGACACCGAGAGAAGAGAGAAGTGGAGAGGTGAGAGAGACAAAGGGCAGCGGCAATTAAAGGAGAGGTTTTTGCTTTTCTGGTGAGGTTTCTTCTATTGGAGTGAGATTTTGCAGGTGGTGGCTGATGTAAAAAATACAAAGGGATTTTTCATGCTAATATCATAATTTTTTTTATATTTAAATGATAGAGTATTTATATTTATATGCATAACCCAATTTTTACATATTTAATGTCTAATTTTTAAATTTTAATATTATTTAACTAACAATAATGTTTAAATAAAAGTACACATTTTCATGTATATAATTTAATATCATTTAAATGGTGGGGTGTTAAGTAAATATAAAAAATTAGATGTTTATGTGTATAAATATAAAAATTGAGTTTTTTTTATTTAAATTCCTTTTATTATTATTTAGTCATCAATTTCTTATTTTTCAAATTAATAAAATAAAATATTAATATTCGATGTGTAATTAATAATTTTTTCTTATCTAGCATAAATCTCGATGTATTTTTTAACAAAAAAAAAAATTTAATTCAAATTTAATATCATCTAGAGCCATGATTTTAACAAGTTTATAGCCAAATTGACAGTTTTGATAAGATGAATCTAATGGTACATGAGAGTGTCACTTTTTATGTCTTATGGTTGGGGTACCCAATTGAATACTATGAGACAATATTTCACTCACTCGGAGTCTCCCGTGATCCAAGACATCCCCTAAGGCCTCTCGATACATGGTTTGAGCACGAAACTAGAGTTGGTGTCGATTCAGTTTTACCTTGGAGAGCTCACCATTGGGTGGTAATAATTATGACACAAGACATCTAATATCCTTTTTGGTATTTAAAGATTATGCTCCATATATATTTGGAGCCTCCTATAGTCAAGGGTAGTCATAGAACCTTTCCACACGCATTTCCAAGAAGATTAGGGTTTAGGATGTCGCACCTATTCATTGATCTTGAACACAGTTGGGCTGAAGTCTTTGATGCAAGCCCTCATAAAATGATTATTTTTGAAGTTATAGAACCATATTTTAGCATATTTAGTCTCTCGTAGCTTGTGGATCGCTAAAATCTTTCACTATAATTTTTTTGAAAAAATTAGGGGTTGCAAGCTAGACCCGTGCCTAGGTGACTAAAATAGTTCCCCGTGGGTCGAAATACGAGAGCCTGGAAAGAAGATGTTGGCCCTAGGTGCCTAGGCGCCCAAAATACCCCTAGGGTCCTAAAACCAAGCAAGCAGAAAGTAGGCATTAGGTCTAGTGCCTAGGCACCCTGGGAGCTGTCGGGTTCTGATTTTTCTGTCTTTTGACCAAATTGACCCATTAAAAGCCAAATAAGAGCTTGGGGAAAGGGAGAAAAATTCTATAAAAGTGCTTAGCCTCGTACCATAATTATGGACCAATCACATGCCTCATAAAGTTGTTCTTTTGACCAAATTGACCCACTAAAAGCCAAATAAGAGCTTGGGGAAAGGGTTAAAAATTCTATAAAAGTGCTTAGCCTCTTACCATAATTATGGACCAATCACATGCCTCATAAAGAAGTCATTTTGGGCTAAGGATGGGTCAAAGAGCTTAGACTTATGGAAAGGGATTCCCCTTCGTTCTTCTTTGATCCAACCAGCATTTTGAATTGGGTGAGGGGTCTCATGTGCTGGGAAGAGGCTGGATAAGAGCTCATGGAGTGGAGAAGATCTTGGTGGGGAGTTTTAGAGCAAGGCAAGAGAGGTTTTCATCTTCTTCCCTTCTTCTTCTTCTTCTTCTTCAACATTTCCTTCTTGATTTTTTTCTTCCTCCTTCTACTACCTTTTTCTTTTCTCCATTAATTTTCTGAGGAGTTTGAGGGAGTTTGTTGAATAAGCTTCTCGAGAGGAAAAGCTAGACATTTCCTTTGGAAGAGGAAAGCTTCGTCCTTACTTTAGGGAAGGAGGAAGCTAGCTTCGCCAACACGTGGAAGGAGCAAGGATCAAGCCCAGAGAACATTCATCAATCTTCATATAGGTGAAATATCTAAAACTCTTGCATTATTGCATTCTTAGAACCCTTTAGGACTGCATGATAGAGATTTAAGGACCTAGGTTTTAATTTAAAATAAAAAAATCTAATTTAAGAATTTATACTAATAAAATGGTAGAGGGTAATTTGTAATAATAAGGAATTTAAATTAAAGTAATGTGGAATTTCTGAAGGCTGTATGGATAGGCCTAGTAACTTGTTAATACCTGATTTATAACTATAGTAATACTTATTTTATATAACTTTTCATAAATTATTATTTGAGCAATGACTATTTATAGAATTAAGACGTCAATACTATAAAACTTAGTTGCTACTTACTGATTAAATGATTAGATTCCTAGTTAGTATCTTTTGAACTACAAACTTTTAAGAAAATTAAGAAGAAATGAAAAATTGACTTACGATAAAGTCATCATTCAAAATCATTAAAAATGAGTTCAACTAGATAAAGTAATCTCCATGAAAAGCAATAGAAAAATAAAAAAGATTCATGCTTGCTAAGAAAGAAAATTCGGAACATTTGAGGAGAGACTTAAGGGTAAGCTCCAATTAAATCTTATAATAAGTCAAATGATAAAAAACTTCACAAATTTTACCCTAAAATTTTATATTTAGAAATACAGTAACAAAATTAACATTATTTAAGTGCATAACTAACCAAATTTTATGCACAAAATCTTAATTTCATGATAGTCAGATCTTACATAAGTAATAAAAGAAGAACTATATATGATCTAGTATAAATAGTAGTTAAATTGGGATATTAGAAAGTTGCTCTAAAAATTCTACCTAAATGAGAAACATGTACACTTTGATTTATATATTTATGTAATTATTAGAAAGCATTGAAATCCTTAATCTAAAATTTACCTTAATCCTTTTTTAAATTCTTGTTCTAGATTTCAAAATTATCCGAGGGCAAGAAGATGCAAGTTTTCGGGAATTTGATGTGTTAAAAATGTCTTGTGTTATTTTCTTTATTTTTTATATTATTTTATTATTTGATAAAATTTATTGGCCAAAAAAATAAAAAAAATATACTCACCTCTTAATCTTCACTATTCATAAGGCATGTAGTACTACTGTCATTTGTCAATTTGTATAGTACCAATGATCAAGTTTTATAGACCATGCTGATACAAGAATTTATGAACTTTTATAACTGCCTGAAAGACTTGGTATATATATATATTTAATGCTGCCAGAATATGGTGGAATAGTAAGATAGATCTGTGTCTTATGTGCCGAGCAATAACAGTAATTTGACATTATTTCAAAAAAGACAAAACCCATGTATTTGACAAGACCAACTTAAGAGAGATGGACATAAGTTAAATAAAAATTTTTAGAAACTAAAACACCCTTAGAAATGCAATAAATATTTCATAAAAGACAATTAAGCACAAGAATGATGATACATAAGAAACCAGACAGACTAATCAAGCAAATTGACAATGAAAAGCATAATCCTACAGATTGAATTCTGATTTAGTTTATGTGCATTTATCACCTTCCTTTCAGGAAACACAATCACGTGAAATGTACTGTGAAGCCTAATTAGAGATTTCATTACAAATTTCCATATTTCTCAAGCATGCATCATACATAATTAACATGATACCTTCCTTCTGCTGTAAATTAATTCTTCCTCTCACCTTTCTCTTTCACCTTCTCTGCGCACATTAATGTTTCTAGAAACTTATGCTTGTCTTCATTCACCATTACTTTTGTTCTTTTTGGGTGCGCAGAATTGTGCAGCCCTAGTAGAAAATGCTCACCTATTTTAACCTTATTAGGATAATCCCACATCTCCCACACCCCAACCCACACATATACCATGCTACAGAAAACAGAAATACATAGCATACAAAAGGAAATACAAAAAAAAAAAAAAAAAGTTTTATGCCAAAAAATAATAAGTATTTTCTATGTAAGTTATGTGATATGTTTATAATAAATTCATTTCCATTTTATCCTTAAATGGTTCCAAAATGCAACATCTAATTATGCCAGTGGTGGTCACCAAATGCTGTCACCATCAACATTAAATTAAATAAATCCAATTTCTGTGTATTTATATATCTAACACTTAAATATTATTTTTAACATTTATATCATTAAAATAATTCATATCACATAAAAAAAATATCACAATTGTATTAAAAAAATATAAAATACCTTTTTCATAAACAAATAAAATAGTATTTATAGAAATTGTACAATAAGAATAAGTGGCATGAAAAAAATTATTTATATTTTTTTATAAAAAAATTTCTATATTTTATATAAAGACTTTTAAGTTAATATTTTATTTTCATCCCCATGGAAATCATCAGATAAATGTTTTTGATTTTTAAATGCACATAATGAACAATAGATAAGAGGTATCTGACACAATTTGTCTCACATAATAGATGTTAATGCAATATGAGGAATGGAAATGGACATATAGTTGAGATATACACTTCTCTGTATTGTGTTCGGCTCGTTAAGAAGCTTGTGTTCGGTTTGTTTGTTAAGTTAACAAGCTGAACACGAAGAAAACGAATAAATATATGTTCGTTTGTCTTTAGCTCGAAATACTACTAATCAATTATATATTAAAATTCTTGTTCTAGATTTCAAAATTATCCAAGGGCAAGAAGATGCAAGTTTCCGGGAATTTGATGTGTTAAAAATGTGTTGTGTTATTTTCTTTATTTTTTATATTATTTGTGTCATTTTTATGATTTTTCATGATATTTATGCCGTGTACAGATAGTTAGGCAAGTTTGGGAACAAAAGAGATGAAACATACTAAAAAAGGGTTGACACAGGTGCCAAGAACCAGAGAACTAGGCGCTCATGTGTCAGTTCTGGGCTCCTATGTGCAAGGAACTGGACTACTAGATTTGACAGTTTTTGACGATTGTCTCAAGCCGTTTTGCATGGGAAAACTTGAATTGTCATAATACAAAGAAAAAAAATGTGAGAGGAGAAACCAAAAGTGAGAAAGAGAGGACAAAACACATCATAGCATATGGGGCATTAGAGCACACCAATGGAATCTATGCATAGGGTGTGCGAGTAGTGTGGTTGCATGAGGATTGAGAGATGCATG